GACATGTGTAATATTATAATGTGCTTGAAATAACATTAAACAAATCCAGTTGTATGTATATCTTCCTAATTACCTAGGAGGAGATTGTCTTCATCGTGAACATAAACATCTAGACTCCACAAATTATAATACTGATGTTACTTAAATATACACATCTCTATAATGTGGCTATGGGTTAATTTTTGTTGATGAGTTTATTACTCTGATTTCATTGCATTGCAATGAATTCCTATAGGCAAGCACCTGGAAGTAATTACCTGAAGAATTTAACTATATGCACAGGTATGGCTAAGGAAAGCAAAAATACACTTTAGTTCATGAAAAATTCAACATCCTGCCTACTGGGTTACATTTCTGACTTAAGTGAAAATCATCACACTAAACTTTTAAGGTCTAACTAAAGCAAATCTTTAAAATTTAACCTGTTTTCTTTGCTCATAAACACTTTTAATCTTTATGTTCTCTATATAGCTAAGACTAGTTTCCAAGATAAAGCATAATTTTAGAGAAGGGGAAAAGTACCTCTACTCTGTGTTATTAAATTAAGTCATTGCAAGACTTTCTGATTCTCTGGCCTGTAACTAAATTCTCTAGAAAAGTAGATTCCCATATCATAGCACTAAGAAGAGGGAAAACTCCCAAACTCTTTTTTCAAGGCCATTATTATTCTAATTCCAAAGCCAGGTAAAGACACACCAGAGGAGGAAAACTATAGGCCCATATCTCTGATGAATATAAATGCTAAAATTCTTAACAAAATATTAGCAAACTGGATCCAGCAATACATTAAAAAGATCATATATACACAGTGATCAAATGGGATTTATTCCAGGGATGCAAGGATGGTATGATATTTACAAATCAATAAGCATGATACATCACATAAAAACATGGAAGACAAAAAATGATCCTATTGATAAATGCTGAATGAGCATTTGATAAAACCAAGTACCCATTTATGATAAAAACAATGGCAAAGTGGGAATAGAGGGAACATACTTCAACGTAATAAAGGCCATATATAAAAGACCTACAGCTAATATCATATTCAATGGGTAAAAACTACAATCACTTCCCTTAAGATCAGGAACAAGACAAAGCTGTTCACTTTCACCGCTGTTATTCAACATGGTACTGGAAATTCTAGCCATGGCAATCAGGCAAGGCGAAGAAATAAGAGACTTACAAATTGGAAAGGAGAAAGTAAAAATGTCATTATTTGCAGATGACATGATCATGTAGGTAGAAAACCCTATAGTTCCCCCCCCAAACTACTCAACCTAATAAGTGAATTCAGCAAGTAGTGGCATACAAAGTCAATATTCAGAAATTGATGGCATTTTTGTACACCAACAATTAACTATCAGAAAGAAAAATTAAGGAAAAAATCACTTGTACTATAGCAACAAAAAAGTATTATAATTACATATTAAACCTGAATGACTAAGTAAACTCCAGGCAGACACATTATGAGATGTTTAGTCATTTCAACAATAATCACCATGACCATCATCCTCATTATTTTCCTCATCATAAAACATGATTAATCATCAAAGTGCTTCTTAATGCATTCAATTTTATTCTTTTAAAAATGCTATTAAAATAACTAAATTGTAAGTTATCCACACTATTGCTATTAAGCATTATATACTAGCATTATATTTATTTTTTAAAAATGATTTCATTTGATATCAATATCAATATTTCAACTTTCTTATGGTGTATTGATAAATACTTATAGTAGTTTATTCATCTTTAATCAAATATTTTTAGCTCTGATTTAGCTTACTTTTCAATGAGGTACGAAAGTGATGTATATACATACAAATCACATGTAATAAAAGGTCCCTGCAATCTCAGTTAATATCTTAACTGTGGAAATTATCTATTATTCTTGAGCCTTCTTTGTAATTATTGTTCATTCACTGTTATTTATTGATCAGTAAATATATAATTTTAAATCTGTTTAATTTGTACTTAGGTGAAAGCTGTATTCTTTTCCTTGTTATTGTCTTCCTTATGTTTAATGTTTATGTTCTTTGGATTCTTCAGTGAGAAACAACAAAAGTGTTTGCTTACTAAATTAAACATGAATTAGTGGTTTAGCACAAGTACACTGAATAGAAAAGGAATTGAAGTAACATCAGGTGTACCTGGTCTCAGGATGAACAGGATTTAAGCCAGGTCTATTGATCTTAGCCAAAACAATGCAGGAAACAACTCTTATTGCTATGCCAACACACAACCCATCATTTGCTTTCTTCTTTCTTTGATGTCTCAATAGATGGTTCACATTTTCAGGAAAGAGAATGTGGTTGTACTATCTTTGATTACATGCTACTTCTTATAGTCAGTGTGTTAATGATATTTATATAAAAATTTGGACTTAAGAGTTGATGCTGTCATTATTATTTCTTCAGGGATGAGGCAATCTGATGAGTTAATACATGTACTAAAAACATCAATGGTACACAGTAAGTTCTTAGTAAAAATTTTAGCCACTCACTAAAATATAAATTAGCAAACTGATTTTCCTGTCTTATGAAGATATCAATAGGTTTATATAAAAGACTCCATAAAAAGACAATACCTGGCAAAGCTTTTAGTTTATATTAAGTGCTCAATCAGAATGATATATCACTTTGGTAATTATTATTACTATGATTATTGGTAATTTACTTTATTGAAGTTGTGTGTTATAATACAGACTTTTTACATTTCTAACAATAATGATATGTTATTAGTAATTAGATACTATCATAACTTGGTAAAACAGTACTTTCACATGTGTCCGAGAAAAGACATGAACTGATAATTATGTGATTAAATAAACACAAAAATAAAAAGGGGTTTTGATGCTAGAATTATTAAGATTTTTCTTGTTCTTGGGATGGAGTAAACATACTTTGAAGATGGCAAAGACATGAATTCAGAAGGGCAGAAGGCAGACTCTTATGTGTTGAATTGGGTCCTTTCAAAATCACATTTCGAAGTTCTAATCCCCAGTATCTTAGACTGTGACCTTCAGAAAAATATCTCTACCCATTTAGTTAAAATATCTCTACCCAACTAGTTAAAATGAAGTCAAACTGGAATGGGGTGAGGCCCTAATTCCATATGACTGCTGTTCTTATGAAAAGCAGAAATTGGACATAGAAATGCATGAGAATGTCATGGAAAGATGAAGGCGGAGATAGGGATGATGTTTTTTTTGTTTTTTTTTTTAATAACAAAAAGTACAAAAGATTGCCAGAAAACTACCATAGCTGCATGAGAATCATGGCCAAAAATGCCTTGAATAAGCCTCAGAAGGAACCAAACTTATCAAAACCTTGATGTTGGGTTTCTACCCTCCTTTACTGTTTAATCCACCCAGTTTATGGTACTTTTGTAATGGCAGTTATACCATAACATACAATTATACTGACTTTCCCTGTTAGAAATTAATTCTAATGGCAATCCAGAAAGTCTTATCTTTGAGTATGATGTTACCTGTAGATTTTTCAGGTGTATAATCATGAATGGGAAGAAAGTAAAGGTTGTTTTTTATGATCAGTACCTTTCAAAACAATAAATATTACCTGATCAGATTTCTTAATTGTCTATCACATCTTTGAATCATTTTATAATCACCTACAAATATGTTATATATTTTTTAAAAACTAAAACAAAAAACCCATGTCATTACACAAAATATTGCGCAATTTGTTTTAAGACTGGCTAAGTATAAAATAAATAATGAGCTTTTATACCAGTTGGATATTGAATCATTTCAAAGATACTGAGCTACTGCATCATCTTTATTTTCACACATTAAAGCCAGGCATATGGTAAGTAATTAATCACATACTTCTTTATTGTTTTGATTAAATGTATTTTGTACACTTTTTTGTTCAGAATTTAATTTCAAGTATTCTTATGTGAATCAGTCATTAATTTCCCATGTTTTGAAAAAGAAAGAGACAACAGAAAGAAAGGGGAAAACTAGCTTCCTGTTAAAATAAGAATGACACTTCGGATGTTAATGATTTTTAATGAAATAAATGTGACATTATTAATTATTCCTAAAACTGAATAGCATTGACAAAAGTATAGTTACTCTTGTATGCAACAGATAATGCAGAACACCTAAATAACCTTATTTCTATTGCTATTTGAAAATTACTGGGAAGGTATGTTTTAAGGATGAATGTGGTGAAAGACTATAGTTACACAGCAATTTTTAAAAAATAGTTTACATGATTAAAACCTGTGTGGGAATACAATAAAAATTATTTTTAATTATTGCAAGTAACTGTCAGCTAAATATTAAGACACTGTATTTTATCAATGACTTATTTCCAATGAACTTTAAAATAAGGATTATTCATGTGTTTCTTATTCATTATTAGCCTGGATGTTTTTAGACAATTTGTTTTTAGGTGTTCTAATAGATATGTTTTCACATACCTATTAAGTTATTAAACTGGAAAATAGAAATAGTTTTAGGCAATATATTATTTAAAAGTGTTGTATGTATAAGTTGGTTTTATGAATAACTTATTTTAAAATAGCATAAGGTTAGTCTGTTAATACAAGCTTACTATAAGTTGAATTCCATGACTAATGATTTTCTCAAGTAGGTATTTTCTAAAAAGAATAATTAGTTTCTCACACTTTAATAAACTGGTAAATTTACAAAGTAATACAGTTTTGATTCTACTTATCACAAATGCTTTAGTAATTGTGAATTTTAAAAAAATGTACCATGGTAGCAAGTGAGTTGTTACTTAGAAACATTTGGAGTTGTAATGGCACCCTCGCTAGTTTTTACTTAATATTATTTTATTGGGTTTATGTGGAATAGTCATTCAATTACTAATAAAATTTTTTTAGTGTAAACTGCACTTCATGTTCAATGCTGGAGTTCTTACTCTCCCAAGATTTTTGAAGATGCTGCTCTATTTGTCCTATTTCTTTATAACTTTGATATTTGAGATTTAATAATAAGTATCTTTTCTGTGTTGTATGAAAGGGGAGAAGGTTAGCACTCCCCTTGACAAGGATGGAAGAGACCCTCGGGCCTAACAACACACATATGGTTAAAAATTATCTTTTCTGTTAATAGTGACTTTTCATTGGTTTGGTTGTTCTAGAGTTATAATCATTGTTTCAGAAGGGTCAGGGATGGGTGAGGAGGAATTTACACATGTGTTAACTACTAGGAAAATAAAAAAGGATGCAGATGGGGAAGCCAATCTTGCATCAAGGCTCTACTAAAACGTATCGCTACTGCAGGGTGTCTTTTTATTTAATCATTTTTTATTCTATGACATTTGTTCCAATTTCTTCCACTTTGCCCCCTCCACGCATCCCACCTCCTAGTGTTCTTGACTTTTTAATATTTCTTGTTCTTTTTATAGACATAATTCACTAATCTCTTTGAATGGTGATAATTAAATAACATTATTTTTCAATTATGCACCTTTTCTCACTATATTTTTTCAATATCCTATTCTCAAATTGTTCATATAAGGCAAATGTCGATGTATTGTGACTATTGTTTACATTCACATCAGTCCCAAACCAGTAGTTCTTCATTATTTTAAGTTTAAAATTTTTGATATTTCAACTACTGAGAAAGTAGAGTATCACTTTACATTTTCAATTTATTTTTTAGTATGGTCAATGGGCATAAGACTTTAAAAATGATATATCATGCCAATAGTGTGTTTCCTAATGATTAATATGAACTTATATTTATTGAAATATGTGCCATAGTCTATTTTGATGATAAAGTTTAACTACTGTAGTCGTAAGAATTGTTCTTACTATTAGATAATTTTACCAATTTAAATCAATCAATTTGGATGTCCATGGGTTAATTGTTGGGCTAGCATTTTATTTTAATAATTTATTTAAATTTATTAAAATGTGTGTTTTTCATTGCTTAGACTTACATAAATTAAGTTATAAGAGTAAGATAATGATGGAGAAAAAAGAAAAAAAAGAAAGTGGAAAAAATAGGAGATAAAACAACAAAATTCTGAAAGTTTCCTTTTTTAATTATGGGTTTATGGATAATTTATTAAACTCCAGTGAAGCTTAAACATGTACTAAGCATTGAAACTGAAATCTTACTTTTAATGAAAACAAGAGAGCCTTCAATATTATAGCTTTTCCACACATAGCTGACATCTTTTCTGAAATTGCTTCAAAAAATAGAAATAACAAGTCAAAGCTAATAATTGCCAGATGACTCAATTAAATGTGATGAAAAATTCTAGCTTTACAATGCAATTAAAGTTTCTTTTTTGTAGAATACAAAAGAATTTCTTTTCATTGTATAAATAAATTAATACAAAATGCTTCAAATTCATGTTATTACAGGCATTACTTAACTCAACAAACTAAGGAAAAGAATTATAAAAAATAACAGTGGTAAAATATCCACTTGACACTTTAGAATTCATAAATACTGCCCCAGAGACAGTTTGTTCTTTGAGAATGAACACTACATTCAAACTGTAACAAATAATATTTAATTGACTCCATGTCATACCACTTGATTTTAAATGGGACTTTAAAAGGAAACAATATATGAATAATTGTGTATACCCATCATATATTTTTATTATAATATAAGACAAGCCCAACCTGATGTGGCTCAGTGGATTGAGTGCTGGCCTGCAAACTAAAGGGTTGCCAGTTCGACTCCCAGTCAGGACACATGCTTGGGTTGTGGGCCAGGGCCCCAGTAGGTAGCACATGAGAGACAACCACACATTAATGTTCCTCTCCCTCTCTTCCTCCCTCCCTTCCCCTCTCTCTAAAAATAAATAAATAAAATGTTTAAAAAAGTAAAACATAAGACAATAAATACAATTACATATTCTTAGGAATCTATATTGAAGAAAATATTAAATTCTCATGATGCATATATTAAGGTCCAAACATTTCTTCTCTTTTCTCAATATTCTTATAAAGATGGACAGACTTAAACATTAATTTAAAAATTTGATCATTGTTTTTCAAGGTAATATTACTTTGTATTTCCCTAAAGTACTTTCTTGGAATGGTTATTATTTTCCAAATATCTTCTTAGTTACTGTTTTAATTTTCTAAGTTTTAAACACAAATTATTCCTGAAAATCAGCAATATTTTAGGAGTATGTCAACTTTTCTGAATGACTCTCTACCAACTGCCCTTCAATTTCTCTTAATTATTTTTCCCATATTCTATTTCTTTTTTGTAAGATTTTATTTATTTATATTTAGACAGAGGGAAAGAAGGGAGAGAGTGAGAGAAACATCCATGTGTAGTTGACTCTTGTGTGCCATCAACTGGGGACCTGGCCTGTAAGCCACGCATATGCCCTGATTGGGAATAGAACCAGCAACCCTTTGGATCACAGGCCAGCACTCATTCTACTGATCCACACTAACCAGGCCCCGAATTCTATTTCTCCCTACATATTGTTTTCAAAAATTATGTGGGAGGAAACATGGAGTATAAAATTGTTCCAGTCCCTAATTTCTCCAACTATCAGAAAAGACATGTATTTATTATATTTTAACAGAGTTCTTTGTTGGATTATTTTGTGATAGAAACATAAAAGCTAGGTTCAAAAATATTATCAAATTTCCATTGTCTGAAAAGGTGAGAATTGTTGATGAATTTTCTGGTTAAGCAAACAAGACTGAGAAAAAGTTTGAGATTTATGAAAAAGTAGACTAAAATATAAATAACTTTAACTGATTATATTTTAAGGAGAAAAAAATTAGTAAATGTGGCTACTACTTAACATTAGATATTTATATAGAAGTGATAAGCTTTTAAACCAGATTAAAAGACATAGACTGACACAAACTATGTACATCATGAATAGCTGGAAAAGTATTAGTGATTAGAATGTATAGAATATTGATAAGAACTGTGAAAAACATATAACTAGAAATTATTTTAAAGCTATGAATAGGCCTGAGTGTTGAGTAGAAATGTCTTTTGTTATTTCAATCAAAGCATTTAGTTGCTTTCATGAAAATCCAGTGTTTTCTTCCCCTGTCCTGTAGACAAAAGAAGATGCATGTTCTAGCTCTAAGATTTAGCTGTGAAGTTATGTTGAATCACTCATGGCCACATATTTTTTCTGTCACCAGAGAGGCTCAAATTATGGGGTCTTCTTTGCCTTGGTTCTTGTCTCACTTGTGACAGATTAATTTAGGCCAGACACAAAACCTATAGTGAAAATGAGTTACTATACGGTAAACGGAGGCAGTCTGGGAAAATAGGTCTGATATGTAATGTTCTCATAGCCTTGAGACCGGGTCTGATAAACGGTTCCCACAGCCTTGAGTGCGCTTGAGGGCACAGAATCTTGCTGCGTTGCACAATATGTTCTGGGCCCCTGTCAGCTTTGCCTATATTTTATTATGTAAGGGAGCCAGGACTTCTCCCTGAGAGAGAGGGGACAAATGCCATGAAGAGACACCAAGGGGACACACAATATGCAGTGTGCATGGATCACCCCACCCTTGAATAAAGGCTTGTCAAGCACCCCATGGCTCCAGGAATACTCTTCTATCTGCTCAAATCCCATGAGCCTCTTTGGCCTCAAGCAGTCAAACACAGGTACCAAGTTTTATTTGAAATACACTAGAGCACGAAAGCTCCAGCAGGCACCAGCTAATCTGAGTGCCTGGCTCGTTGGGATTTTGCTCTCAACCACTGGACTGCCCCACTTCCTCCCCTCTCCAGACCTGGAGATAACACCCATTTCAAAGGAGTCTTTTCCCAGATAGTGAAGACAAAACACACAAAATTTCGAATTCTTCCCTCCTCCTCTGCTTATCATGGTCTCTTCTGTGATCTTTGGAATCCTAAGAAAACTGTTAGGGCTCAAGCCTGCTGAATTAATGGGTGAGACAGGTCTCCCTTCTGAGCCCTGCCCTGGTTTGCTATCTACCCTGCATAACAGTTCAGGTATCTTGTGAATTTTTTGAGACTATACTTGGCTTAACAGAAACATGTTGTTTTCCATCAACAATACTAGAGGTTTTCTATGGTAGCACAAGATGGGCAATCCTAATATTACGTTTGAGAAATTTGTACATATGTTTAAAATTAAGCCCATATGTTATAAGAACCTTTCATTTCAACTAGGTAAATATATTTCAATTACATAATAAAAAGTTATCCAGAAGTAAATGAACAGCCTTTTTCTTTACATATCCTAAAAGAAAGTAATTGACTGAAGAATTCAGACTCTGGCATACAAAGGGAAAAACTATTTTTTTTCTTTTTACAGACTTACACATATTCTGTTGACCATGCATAACCCTCTCCACTTAGTGTTGACCTGAGCAGGTCCCATGCCTCATCACTTATTCTCAGCTAAAGGGGTGGTTTAGTTCCATCCAAACTGATGAAAACTTCACACAAATGTATAATTCAAAGCACATGCCCAGCTTAGCACATGCCCAGCTTAGGCCTTTCCATTGTATTAAGGAAAGATATTTCTCAGCTTGTGTTCCCCGAGGCAGATCCCAAAAAGTCATTTGCTGGTGGAGTGTTGAAGCACTGGGAACCAGTTTTTATTTTTTAGGAATAGCCAGCCTCAGGGCTGATATTTACTTGGTAAATATTGGCATGCATGGCTAGTTCCACTCTGATACAAAATATTTTTAAGCATATAGAAGAATGCTAGGCATGCATGGTACACTAAACAAATTTTGATGGATTAAAAATAAAAATAATTGTAAACATATTTGAAAACTTAGATGACAACTAGTAAAGATTCTGGAAAAATACCATTACTAAAATTCACTTGAATAGGATATAGAAAACCAATTAATTCTAAGAATATGACAGATGTTAAATAATGTTTTTACAAATTTCCCCTAAAAGTTATTTGCTCAACTATTACAGGCAACTGTTTTTTGTTTTTTTTTTAATTTCAGGGTGCAAATAACAGTGCCAACTAACTGTTTCAGGAAATAGGAGAGAAAAACCTATTTAACTTTTTTGATAAGAGTACTAAAATCATAAAAGTAAAATTACACAAAAACTATAAGATGAAGATCTCAGCTAATTTTCTTATAAACATGAAAGAAAAATATGAAATAGGTACATTGCATCAAATGGAGA